GAGGGGGGGAGGGGGCTGTGGAGGGGCGGTACAAGTGGTACGTGTCGTACAGAGGTACAATCGTCGTACCTGTCGTCCATGACGTAGTTGGGCGAGTACGGGCCCCACCACAGGTCCTTCTCGGTATCCGGGTCGCGAACGACGCGCCTGAGAGGCGTTGTGGTAGCGAGGGGGGGCGAGGAGAGGGGAGGCCGAGAAGGAGTGATGGTGGGTGCAAGGGGTGATCGAGAAGGAATAGATGGCTGGGAAGGAAGACGGGGGGCACTGCGTCTGCCGTCTGCCGTCTGGCATTCAGTACCGCCGGGGTACCGCAGACGGAAGCAGGCGGCACCAAGGGCTGTGTTCCCAACGCCGCAAATATATGGCGAACCCTGAAAAGATGAACTTGATGTGAACGAGTGAGGTAAGGAAAGCTGATTCATTGTTGCATGGTAAAGCGCTTTCGGGCTGTTCCGGCCTGCGGCATCCCGCCCTAGGTACTACGCCGTACGATACGACTCACTTGTCCTTCGGACTGCGGCCCATCTTCTCGCCTACAAGGAGGGGAATTGGGCGCAAGAGATGCCGTTGACGACGGACCGCAGAAGGATGGTTCGGGGCACATCTACAACAGACGCAGCACCCCGGCTCATAATATCGATTTCGGATTGTCAGACAGCACGTCCAATAGTAATATATCTATACGCGCTATGTATATGTATATGTGGTTGTGCTTCTTACCGCTATCAACCCGCTAATAGGTGTTGCACCAACGACAACACTAACCACCATCCCGTCACACGGCGGAGCTCTTCATCGTAAACTAAAATTAAACAGCAAAAAGCCACAGCTCATAACCCTGATACATTTGACCGTATAGCGCTGTTGTATCCGTTGTGAAGTACGTCGTCTCAGCATGCATCTGCTGGACATGCGCTCGCACGACGCACCCGACAGAGTCGCCAGAGCTCCGGTGGAGGTGATGTGCGTCCCTGGCTCAAAGGCGAGGGCCTGCGAAGGGCATCACGCAATCGGACACAGTAAGCGAGTCCGCGACTACTTTGCAGTCTGGTCCATGGCCGCTGCTGCAGCAGCTGCTGCAGTGGACACTAGCGCAAGGGTTCCCAAACCAAATCCTTGCTCCCAAACCAAACCAACTAACCAGCTCATAAAGCTGAGCAGGTGGCAGGTTGCGGTACACTTGGCGCGGGGCGAGGCCCGACTCCTTGGCAAAGCTGCTGTCCAGCAGGAACTTCGGGTCGGTTCCGGAGGGCATGGTGTCCGAGGGATACTGAATTGGGACACAATGGGCCGATAGGAGGGAGGGAAACCGGCATTAGGGCTTGCTTGTCGGTTTACCACGTCAGGGCAGGCCAGCAATCCTAACTGCTCCATTGGCGCTTGTGACGGCGTGGATAAATGACATCCGGCAAGGCAACATATGACATTCATATCTATATTGCGAAGTTCGCGGCCATTAACAGCTGCTCAGGCGATTGAAAAGGGTTCCCTAACGTTCGTCCCGAAAGCATGCCTGGCGACACCCCTTGCCGCGCCTACATTGAGCTGCGACAGGCATCCATCACTTACACGAAGCATTGCGGCCGCGCGATGTGTCTCCGGCTTGGCGAGCGAGGTTCCCTGTCGAGTCCGGGGTTGGCAGATCGAGCGACTAGCCGGAAGCAAGGAGGGAGACGTATGCTTCCAATGTGAAAGGGAGTGGTTTGTAAGCGGCAACATGCTGTGAAACATCGCGCTCCTTATATACAGTTCAGGCTGACGAGGGGTATCAGGTCAACGGTAATGGAAGCCGTTTGCCACGCCACTTGTACGAGCTTAATGCTGCCGATTACACAGAGCACCGATTACGCGTTTCAACGGTACTTTGATTTAATATATGATAGTTATACTTAAATGACCCGACACAGCTCCGGGTACCGCATTCTGACGTGGACGGGTCGTTTTGCTTGCGCAGCTCTGACTCTGAATGCCGGGGGAAGGTCGGGCAGTTTTGATGCATTTAGCGTAAGTTGATTAATTTACTCAGAAGTTCGCGACTTTTCTTTCTCAGAGCGCGTGTGATCGGCCGTGTGACCTCGGTGGTGGTTGACGCCGCATATTACGCTTTCGCGGGATCATTGCGTAAGCTTCGAAATAAACATGCGACACCGTTTCCCTTACTATTGCAGGCTCAGCGCAGCAGGCCATCAAAACGAACAAGTCAGCTTGCACGTTAAAGTGGACATGTCTGTTGTGACCTGGTCAAACCCTAACGTGTTTCCGCCCGCACGCGTCACTACCTAACAAGTTATCGCAACAATCTGCGTCTTATATTGCCAGAGTGGATTGAAGGTAACTTTGGTAGTGTAACGCCTGCAACCATCACTCCATTTGTGCGGTATGAAATGAACCGGATGCGTCTCGTCTCTGCAAACAAACCCACAAAACAAATCTGGGACACACGGGGTGTGACACACTGCTCAGGATGGGGGCGAGTGCGCGATACCTGTGCCCATCAACCCCGCCAACCGTTATCTGTAACGGCTGGTTACTCCGAGGACTCTTCGATTAGCTTCTGTCTAACACGTTCTGCAGGCACCTTCTTACCTGTAGACAATCACGACATTCATTTTTCTTGCGCATCCGTGCACTACCACGTTACCTGTAGTGAGGTCACAATAAATAATTTATCATGTTAGCCCTACCCTGCTTGGTTGGGCTGCTTCATTGCATTTCGCGTTTTTTCTGAGAGCAGGCGGTTAGCATGGGATGTTGCGTGTCCTCCGGATCGGAACAAGCGTAATCCACGGGCCGAACCCCGGCACCGTTTCCTGATCTGCACCCACTAGGTAATGCCTTTGGCTGTGGCAAGAGTGTGTGCTTTCGCAACAGAAGGCCGCGCAACCGCTTTGTGTTGCTATATGCAGGCAGGCAATGCGCGCCGCGCGATTCCGCTGCATCCCCCACACCAATTGTTTGCCCTGACTATTCCATCGACTTGACCCGCCAGAATCGCGTAACCGATGGACCCACAGTCGAAGGCACGAGCAGCATCTCAAGAGGCATGGGGATTGATAAGCCGGGTTGTGGGGTCGCTTTCCCTGCTTGCCTGGCCTCGCCGTCTCCAGTACAAGCCGCCGCGGGCCCAACAGGCCCCGTCTCCATGCCCTCCTTGCCGCCCTAGGTGTACGCAACAACAGGATCCGGTTGCCGGGGCCGGGCTCGGTCACGCTCGCAACGGCGCTACACACGCAACATTCCAGTGTTGAGCCTGGAAGCAAAAGCAATTTAGTTCTTTGCAACCGTAATCGTCCTCTTAGACGTTCGGCAACACACATGACGGCAAAACCCAAAAGATGCACCGCCACGAGCCGTATTCGTTTTCGTTTGGACGGATGATGCGCCACGAAAGGTAAGCCGCGGCAGCCGCTTGAGTGAAAAAAGTGGATGCAGATCTGGGCTTGACGCCCCCACCAGACACCAGCCCCCTCCTCCTTTCTACGCCGTAACGAGGGAAGGACGCAGGAGGCCGAGGAGGGACGTCATCGCTGAATCTCCTTGGCCCCTCAGTTCAGCAAACCCTGCAGCCTTCCACCTCCAGCCCTCCATCCCGAATGCTGACCGTCACCAACGCGACAATCTCCCACCGCGTCTTACAAACGCCAATTAATCAGCAACTGGTCAGGGGTTGCAGCGTCAGCTCCCGGCGAATGCGTGTCTGTGCGTAGAAGGAACAGAACAATCCATGCTCTGGCTCCAAACACCCCCAGGAGGCCGCACGTGTCTGCCCCCGTGGCTGCAACCCGCACATCATATCGAGATGAGCACGCACGCGACCACTGCGCTACCCATAAGCAAAGGCCGTCCGCCGTTGCTTCAAACCAGCCCTCTTCGCCTGCAGACCCGCCTACGCCTGCCACAAGTATCCCCTCATCCGAACCTTAAGCCGAGGGAACTGGATCATCATCAGAATCCATCGACCTGCCCGAAGAGCCGCTCACATCTGCTAGTCCCGCTGACCCATGGGTCATGTGCCGCCGCAGCTCCAAAACCCGACCGGCAACTGTCCGACCCTTCAGTGCCCCAACGCCATCATAGTGCTAGGCAACACATAAACCCCATGCCATTGTCCCCTCCCATGACCGACTCACGCTTAAAAGAAAGGCTCAGCCCCCCGTTCTAGTTCCCCCTCTGCGGCCATACATTGCGGTGCGGCCTGCGTGGAGGATGGCTTGTTCTGCCTTCGACCCAGCCCCGCAGAGAGGCTGTCATCATGACTCTTCCGCCTATCAGACAGGCGGGTGCGCCTCAGGTGATGGCGCCGCTGAGGCTGTGGCGGCGGCGGTGGCGGAAACGGTGGCATTGAAAAGCAGCGCCGCGAGCCCTCCTTCCCTTCCCTCACCGTTTCCGCCAGTGTTTCCGGATTCATTGCCCGCCGCTGCGCATGGCGCCATTGCCAGTGCCGCCGCCGCCGGTGGCGGCAGAGGCGCCAGTGCCGCTGCCGCCGGTGAACGAGTTGGCGGGTGACAGCTGTGCCGACGCGAAAGCATTGGAGCCGCCGTTGCGGGGGAACGGCGGCGGCGGCGCGGGCCGCGGCGGCCGGAGCACTGCGCTGCCGCCAGTGGCGCCGGCGGCGGCGCTGCCGAAGCTGCCGCCGGTGGGCAGCTGCGACGGCGGCGCCGCGCCACCGTCGTTGGCGCCGGCACCGAAGGAGGGTGCGGTTTGGAGTGCGGAGTGGGAGCTGACGCTCGACAGGGGCAGCAGCGGTTGCTCAGCGGTTCCGTCGGGCTTGGGGTACAGCGGCGACGGCGGCACCGCCGCCGAACCGCCGCCGCCACCGCCACCGGTCTTGAGGCCGCGGCCCGTGCCCTGGGACATTTCCAGCTCGACTGCAGCACCGCCCTGAGGTGGTAGTACGGCCTTGACGACAGGAAGGTCGTACAGCCGTACAGGGAAGGAGAGGAATTGGAACAAAATCCAAATTAGAAATGGGCGGAAACTTAATGCTCTGCATCAGCAATCCGACCTTAGCTCAGCTGGAAGAGCGAAGGACTGTAAATGTACACTGGCATCCTTAGGTCGCCTGTTCGATCCAGGCAGGTCGGATATAGTTTATTATCAATTCTTTTATTCATTCACAACATCCCATCCTGATTCAAGGGCCTGCCCCCACGACGAAGGTTGAGCAGGGCACGCCGATCGGTGGGTTCGGTGAGGCCTCGGGGGCCCAGCCCTCAGTCCGAGTCAGGAGCGGTCTGCGGCCACAAACCACCATCCATCCCGCCGCCATCCATCCATCCCGCCATGGCAATCGCAGCGAGCGGGCCACTTCCGGCGAGACTACACTAGAATGGAAGTGAGACCCCGGAGCCCGGACACCTCTTCACGACCCACCGCCTCCACAACAGCCGTATCCTCAACGCCGCCTTCCACTCTTTTATCCCACGTTTACAAAAATACGGTGATATTTTAACGATAACGATAATACTTGACCGATATGGCTTTTATTATACCGCCCTAATGTTATCTTAGTTACCGTATGTTATGACCGGCATCATTACAGTTTTGACGACTATTATTCAAACGGTGGTGCATTGTTGAAATGGTAACAACGGAAAAGATCGCACCTTGGCCGTAGGACCTGCGAAGCCCGGCAGCCGCACACCGAATGCCGTACCGCCGCCGTACCCGCTGCCGCTGCCGCTGGACCCCGCCGACGCGGTTCCGGTTCCGGAGCCGCCGCCACCCGTTGCGGACGCGGACGCCGGCCCGGCGCGCGTGAGCGGCACACCCAGCGACGCCGGCGGCGCCGCCATGGGCGGCGGCGACGCAGGCGCGTCCATTCGCATCTCCCGCATCACCTGCGGTGCAGTCATCCCCCATGGCCCATGGAAATGCCGTCAGGCGCCGACTTTGGGCTTCGGCCAAGAGCGTCGTCGTCAGGTGTGGTGCGCGCCATCGACCCCCTTTGTCCCCTTTGGGAATGAACGTAATCCATTGGAGGCGGACATGTCTTTCGCGTTCAAAACATGCAAACAAACAAACACACAAACAAACAGACGCCGCGGCACACCGCCTAATCACCTGTCGTATGTGCCGCTTGGCCAGACGCCCGCGCAGCGCCGCCACCCCTGTGCATGCCGAGATGAGCACGGAGTTTGGACATGGTCGCGGGTCAGTTGCAGTTGGTTGGCGGTTGGTTGTTCTGGTGAAATCAGGTGCAGTTGGTTGCGGTTGGTTGGGGAGGGTGGCATCGGAGGGAGGGGTCGAGGAAGGGCGGGAAGACCTGCAAAACATCGTGCCTGCGTGCCATGTAGAATTCTCCCTGCTTGCCTTACTTGACAATCGCACCGCATTCTGCATTCCCTCGAGAAACAAAACATTTTCTGCATGCCGTATACATCCAAGATCCAACTTGGATCTCGTCGCGCAGTGCGAATTCCCACGAGCCCGTGCCATCCCCCGTACCTGCCACCAGCAAAATAAGGCCCGGCAGTCCCACCCCCAGCCCCAGCCCCAAGGCCAGGTCCCGCCGCTTCTTCTCCGCCGCCGCCGCCGCTGCACCCCCGGCGCCGCCGCCGCCCGCCGCCGCCATCGGGTCCACCTGCGCGGTGTCCAGGTTGCCGTACCCTGCCGTACCGCCGTCGCCGCCGCTGCCCTGCGCAATGTACTCCGCCCCACTCGGGCCACCGCCGCCGCCGCCGCCAACGACTGCTCCCAGCTCGTCGGGGCTGTCCGTCTGAGCACCGGCGGCGCCGGCAGGCGGTATCACCGCACCGCCCAAAACCGTCTCGTTGCCCTGCTGCCCCTGCTCCTGCTCCTGCGCCGCCAGGATCTCCGGGTCGAGCGGCAGGCAGGGCCGCAGCTCCGAAGCCAGAAAGGCGACTGGCATGATGGAGCAGAACTCTAATTGGGAGGCGGAGCCGGGGCCCGGGGCGAAGGGGGAACCGTTGCCGGAGGAGCCAGCGCCGGAGGTGTTGCCGGGGCTGGCGGCTGCGCCGCCGGCGACGGCGGCTGTGACGTTGGCGAGCGCGGCGGCGGCGACGTCGGCTGGTGGCGTGAAGCAGTCGTAGTAGGTCCTGCGGATGCGGAGATGCGGGGTGGTGATGATGAAGACCGGTCGTGCGAGTCGAGATCGGCGCAGCACCAATCAATCATAATATCAGAGATGGAGGTGGGGCATGCCTGTGCAGGAATGACAAATGCAGCCGGACGGAAACCCAGGCCTCAGGCCTCCACGGCCTGCCTTCTGCCCCTTCACTTCACATCACTTCACTTTGCTTGTCCGTGTGCCGCTACAGCACCACAAAGACTCCCCTCTTACTCCAGCAGGGGTGCGGCAGGGAGGGCGCCCACGTTCGTACTTATAGCCCAGCCCCTCATGAGCCCCCTCTCCCCCCTCCCCCTCTCCCCCTGCTCCCCCTCTCCCCCCTTCCCCCCTCTTCCCCCTCACGTGTTCCTGAAGGTGAAGGGCAGCGAGCACTGCTCCCCCGTGGTGGTCTGCCGGGGCCGCGGCGCACACGGCTCCATGCGCCCCTGCGGGTTGAGGCAGCGGCCGGGGGCCGGACCCACGCAGTCGTACGCGGGCTGCGGCAGCGCACTCGACGTCGAGCCGACCACATCTTCGGACGTCGGCGAGTCGACCGCATCCACATCTTGTTCGGGGGACAGCAGCGGGGTGTCGTCCCGGGTGTCCTCCGGTGGGAAGAAGGGGAACTGGCAGAGCTGGCCGGTGATGGTGGTCCTGCGTGTGTATGTGTGTATGTGTGTATGGTGGGAGGTGAGGGAGGGGCCGAGAAAGAGGGAAGCAGGGGGAGGCGCATGGCTGATGTATCGTCTCACTTCACCGGCTGGGTTTTAGGTGTTAGGGTTCTTGGGCACCAAGGTAAGCACAGGTGCTCTTCCAGCCGGGGCTTCTCGTCGCCGCACTGGAGCATCTCAGCCCCAGCCCCTACAACCCGACCCCGAACCGGCAGCTGCAGCAGAAGCAGGCGGTCGCCATGGCTGGCTGTCGCATTTGTGCAATTCTTCTCCCACAACGCCGCCCCACCCCATCCCCCTCGCACACACAGCACACAGCACACAGATAGAATCGAGGCATCAGAGAGTGCGGCATAGCGGCACCACAGCGCGGCAATGCGCACAGCACAGCACAGCGCACCTTGGCTTGCCTCCCTGCACCCTGGGCATGCATTGCTCCCAAGTGCCGTTGAAGCCCCGGCAGTAGCCCGGGTCCAGGCCGGAAGCTACACAGTCCCACTGCAGCGAACCTGTATGCGTGCAAGACCAGAGATCAGATGTTCAGATCAGATCAGGATCAGATGTGAATTAGATAAGGGCCAGATTCGAATCAAATCAGGGTAATATCAGAATCAGATCAGAATCAAATCAGAATCAGGATCGGATCGAAGGGATCAGATCGGATCAGGACCACATCGGGCTAATTCGGACGGACGAAAACGGTCAAGAATACAAGATCGTATCGGGACAGATCGAAACAGAATGAAATAAATCGAAATATGTCGAATAGATCGGAATGGATTGAAACAAATCGAAACAGATCGAAACAATAAAAACAGATCGAGAAACATAACCGATTGTATAATTTCACATCGAACCAGATCAAGCGAGGTCGGTATACACGGGGCCCCAAGCCCGCCTCAACTCCACTCGACTCACCCTGGTAAAAGAACGGCAGTGCGCAGGGCTGTCCGCTGACTGTGTGGCGCGCAGTGACCGTCACATTGGGCGGCGGGGTGGGGAAGGCGGTGATGAAGATGGGGCTGCACTCCGCCCAGCTGCCGTCGGCCACCTGAGGGAAGGGAAGAGGGGGGACCGGGGGGAGGTGTCCAGAGTGAGGCCGGACATGCGGGGCGGCAGGCGACATGCGGCGAAAGGCACATCGACCCACCCGCCCGCCCACCCACCCAGGCACCCAGCCCCTCCTCACTCACCTTGCACGCCTCCACCCCCTCCAGCCACACGCAGTCCGTCCGGTTGCGGCCGCGGTACCAGTACGGCAGCGCGCAGGCGGCCGGCTCCTCCCCCTGGGCCCCCGTCGTGAAGCGCTGCACGGGGGCGCACTCGAGCACCTCACCGCTAGACACCTGGCGGGATAGGGGAGGTGAGGGGAGGGAGAAAAAAGAAAACGGCCCGGGATGAGTGGGGCGGGGACGGGGCGTGGGGGCGGGGCGTTACAAGGACGTTTGCTGGCGAGGTCATTAGGGAAGGTTGTCTTCCCCCAAGAGTACAAAAAAACCGGGTTTGGGCCCCTAGCCCAGACCCAGAGTCCCACATCCACAATCTCAAAACCCCAACACCCGAAAACCCTGAAACTGATACCTTCACCAAACCCGCAAAGCCCCACCTCGCAGCTGTAGGTTGGTTCTTCATCGTCGTTGACCGGCACCAGATCCGCCGCCACCGGGGTGCCCTCCTGCCGCGCCACAGCTCCGTAGTCGGCGCACTCTGACAGGGCCCCAGGGCCGGCGGGGAGGCAGCGCTGACGGTCGAGTGTGTAGCGGATGGGATACCTTCGGGAGTGGGGGCAAGGCAGAGGCGGGGCGGGGTGAGGACGACGACTGACCCACGGTTCACTACATCCGAACCGACCGACCCACAGGTCGCTCCCACCGGACCGGGCCGGGCCGACCGACCCATGGGTCGCTCCCACCGGATCGGTTCAAGACCGACCGACCCACGAGTCGCTCCCACCGGATCGGGCCGGGGCGACCGACCCATGGGTCGCTCCCATTGGAGCGGGCCGACCGACCCATAGGTCGCTCCGACCGGACCGGACCGGGCCGACCGACCCACGGGTCGCTCCCACAGGATCGGGTCAAGCCGACCAACCCACGGGTCGCTCCCACCGGACCGGGCCGACCAACCCACGTGTCACTCCCACCGGAAAGGGCCAACTGACCCACGGGTCGCTCCCACCGGACCAGACCGGACCGACTGATCCACAGGTCGCTCCGACCGGACCGGACCGGACCGACCGACCCACGGGTCGCTCCGACCGGACCGGACAGGGCCGACCGACCCATGGGTCACTCCCACCGGACCGGACTGACCGACCCACAGGTCGCTCCGACCGGACCGGACCG